TTTGTTTTTTTATTATGAAAAATAAAAAACTATTTTCAAAATAAATTGTAAAACAAGCCTTTGAATCCTAAATTCATATTTGATATATTTTAAATTCTGAACAATTAAACTTAAAGCAATTTAGCCTCTATTATTAATTTCAAATAAAATCTATTAATTGTAGGTTCAAATTAGTACATTTTTAGGGTTCAAATTGCCCCTAACTTTATGCTTTAGAGTTTAAATTATCACTTAACCCTGAATAAATTTAAATTGTTAAAATTTGATCGAAACAGTTAAAAATAGAATTTATTATTGAAAATTATACAAAGTAATTTTTTTCAACTTTTTTATTATAGTTATAAACTGTCTTGATTAATTTTTAACTTTTTTAATTTATATATATATTATTTAAAATCATAGTAATTTCATAAAATATTAAATCAAAAGTGTTAAAATTTTTGATCCGAAGTGATGAACGGAAAGAGAGAGAAAAGGAGAGGTTGCTGCCCACACAAAGTACAATGTCTACGTTAGCTCCAATCCAAATGGCACCTGCTTGGGTACAAAAGAAAAAAAAAAGCAAAAAAAAAAAAAAAGTTGAGTCTGACATACTTGTTTGGCTGTTGAATTAAACTAATGGAAATTTATGATTTAAACTTTTTTGTTAGAGAAAAAAATAATTTTTTGCAAGAAAATAAAAAATAAAAATAAAAGACGTGTCCAACGAATTGAACAGTCACGCCACCCATGTCACAACTCACAACCTTAAGGGAGAAACCCATTGTGCTGCCACGAGCATCCTTGAATCTCGCCACCTCAAATCAAATCATTTGTCTAATGTCCTATTTCTCTAATCTTATCTATAATTTTAAAAAAATTTAATTTGAATTTTATTTAAATTTTTTTATTACCTTTATATTTATTTTTACATTTTTATTCTTATTAAATGTTAAAAAATATTAAAAATAATTTTTTTTATCCTTGTTGGGTTTGAGCTAAAAAGTTGTTAAATTTTAAGATAAAATTAATAGAATATTAATTTAATATTTTTTTAATTTCAATGAAGCACATTAGAAATGACTTATAAATAAAATTTTAAAAAATATTTTTTTAATGTAAAAAAGGATCTATAGTTAACACAAAAGAAATTACAAACATACTAAGGTCATATTTACTTACTAAATTATAATGGAACAAAATTAATTAAAAAAATAAAGATAAAAATAAGATGATCAAAGGAGATAAGTGAATATATTCATAAGAGAGAAGGATAATTTAGTTCAAGGATTGAGAATCATAATTCATGTCATTTTTAAAAGGTATGATGATTCTCACATTTTTAGTATATATTAATGAGTTTTATTATGTTTAACATAGAAACAAGAATGATTAGTTTATTTTTATCTTAATTTTTTTAATCTATTACATTTTATTTTATTCTAATAAGCAATCGTGACCTGTAAGTTTCAATAATAATAATTTATCATTTGCCACTTTCTTACAATAAAGTGATGGTTGATCAAAGCTTTAGAAGAGCATCTAACCAATCCAAAACATTTTTAGCCAAACAACGTGTGTAAAATTTGGCTTTTTTATATAAAAATTCCAAGGATACAATCTAGTCTATGTATAAAAGGATTTTAATGTGATCTAATATGTCTTTGTGAGGGCGAAATGCATTTCCCCTCTGGATCACTCCTAAGTACATAGGAGGTTAATTGTTTTGACACCGCACGGTTGACGGACATTCTATCTAGATTTTAGATCACACGATGCACGATATATTAATTTTCAATTGTAATATAATGAGGAGAAAAGATTTTAATGAGTTTAATTTTTAAAAATGAGTGAAACATTAAAATTTTTAATATAGATAAAATGGATAGGAGATAAGTAAATAAAATTATTTACAAATTTTAAATCACACTTATATATAGAATTACAACCTATATTGTAGATTAAGTAAGGTTTTTAAAAAATATTCTATATTATAATTTGGGGAGTATATTTTTTAATATTGATTCTATATTTACCACTTATTTTTTAATGTGGGTCCCATACCGACTCATTATTTTTTCGGCTAACATACCTGCTTATCATAAAACCTTTATAATTCAGTCCTTTAATTTTGATAAGTTATAACTCAATTTTTGAAGTTTTGATTTGGTTGTAAATCAGTCTTTGAATTTTTTTTTACAATTTAATCCCTGAAATTTCAACCTCATAAATATTAATCTTATATTTTAAAAAATAAAATTATAAAGATTTAAAATATTTTAAACTCTTGATATTTATAAAGATTAAAAGGGTTTAATAATTTAAAATATTAGTAATAAATTTTAAAATATTTTGAATTTTTATAATTTTATTTTCTAAAATATAAAGATCAATATTTAAAAGGTTAAAATTTCAGGGACTAAATAACAAGAGGTAAAGTTTAGGGATTGATTTATTACTAAGTCAAAACTTTAAAAATTAAATTATAACGAATTAAAATTTAAGAATTGAGTTGCAACTAAATCAAAACTATAAGAATTAAATGATTAATTTTCTCATTTCTATTTAATATGTAATGAATAAAAAATTATTATAAAATATTAAAAAAATATGTGAGATGGTTAACAGTAAATACAATATAGAAGAGAGAAGAGATTGATCCAATATGCTCTAAGATTAATTTAAATATTTATATTTTTGATACTGCACTTATTAATTGTAAAAATATTTTGTACGTGGACATCACTCAATATGTCGATGAACATGATTTATCCGGGGGCCTTTCATTAAAGAAAAAAGAAGAAAAGGAAATTTGCTCCAGCATGATCGTATGCCATACAAGATGGCTATGGCATCAATGATAGCTAGTGGCAGGTCACCTATATCAAGATAGAACCCCGCTCAGTGGTGAATTGACGTTGCGGGGAGCGTGGGCATGGGCTTGGCTTTTCTCCACTAACATTTTCCTGTGAATTGACGTTGCGGGGAGCGTGGGCTCGGGCTTGGCTTTTCTCCACTAACATTTTCCTCCACTTCTTACCTTGAAATGAAATCTAGACGTTCATATTTGATTTCAATTAAACTTTTATTTTATAATTATAAAAATAAAAATAGTTTTTTAATAATTATATTTTATTACCAACTTGAACTATTTATATTTAATTTAAATAATTTAATTTAAAATTAAAAATATTTATAAATAAACTATTTAGATATATTTTAGATTGTCTAGAGTCAGCTTTTATTTAAAATAAAAATTTATAAAATTTATTAATTAAATTTATACTTTTCAAATTATATCTGAATAATTAAGTTATAAAAAATTTAATATTAAGTTTGACCATTCAAATTAAATTTGGATAGTATAAGCTGGTGATCAAGTAGATTTATTAAAAATTTAATTTTTAATTTAAATAAATATAAAATAAAATTTTAATCTTGACCGAATCTAGATGGTGATATTTCATTTTAAGACAGTGGAGGGAAATGTTAAAGAGTATCAATGTCCGTTGACGCTTACCCCAACTCCCAACTCACTTTTACAAAAATTACATGTAAAGCATGTAAAATTTACCTTTTTTAACTTTACTGGTTTTAATATTTTAATCTCATTAAATTTCAATTTTAATATATTGTCCTTTTATCTCACTAACATAGGGTATTGAATCCTCCCGCCCCGCTATATAGTGGTATCTCTTACAATACCTCCACATTTATTAATTCTATTTTTGTAAGAGTTGTTGACAATTTGACATTCAATTTGAGTTCATCTTAAGGTCTGAAGCATTAACACTAATTGCTCCTTACCTTCATTTTAAGGGTGTATTAAGTTTTTAAAAGATTGAGGTCATCCTCTTTTCATAATGCACACACCCACTGATTGTTTAATTCATTTGATAAGAGAGTTGTGTTCTCTTACCTTAAAAGTATTGAATTTAAGTTTAAAAAAAAAAAATATAATTTTAAATTCTTACATTTTGTTTGTATTTTATTATAAATTTATATATTTTTTTGATATTTTAAGTCGCTATATTTTTATTTTTTAATAATTTAAAAATATAAATAAAATACATGCATTTAAAATTATGTTTTTACTTTTAAAAATGTCATATCTGTTTTCAATAAAGCTTTAGTATGATTTTTAGTTTTTAATTGTATATAAAATTTTAATTTGATATTTTCATTTTATGAAATATCTTTTGAATTTCCTAATTTGAATACGATTAGTTTTAAATGATTATTTTTTATATTAATTATTATTATTTTTAAAAAGTTAAACTTAATATGTAATTTTTGAGAATAATTTACAAATATTTAAAAGTTTAATTTAAAAATTTTTTATAATAAAAATTACATTGTTAGGGTTAAAATGCTGAAAAAACACTTTATAAAATTAACCAATCAAAATAAAACACGTATAAAGTTAAAGGAATAAGATATACTCAATTTTAAAAATATACACAAGCATAGACACAGCATCCCCTTCTACCCACTATGTTTTTTTAAGAAAAATAAATATATTTAATGTATTTATTTTTAATTAAATCAAAAGATTTCTAATAAATTATTTGTTTTATAATAAATTTTTTATAAATTTTGTTAACATATTAAAATTTACTTATTTAATTAAATATAAATATATTAAATATATAAAATTAAATATCTAAGTCTTTTCACTTTTTTATTATCAAAATTCTGATGACATTCCTTTCCTGTTAAGCAAGAGCCAATTAAAAATTCCATTAATTTAATCCAAAGTATATTCATATTCCTTTAAAAAAGTCGGCCACCGACCAGGGTGAAGGCCGATAATATGATGTGTGCAGATCACGACCCCATGTTTTCCTCGAAGGCTACCCCACTAAGAGGGAATAATTTTTTTTTTACCTAAATATAATAGAAAATCATGTTAATATATTCTGATTGCGATGTTTCATGTCAATGTAATGCCTCCATCTTCTTACGACGTCGTTTTCATGCTCCTCCCCTTCGTTCATTCCAAATGGAAGGAAACGTCCTGACCTCTTTGACTGCTTTCACTTCAATCCGTTGTCCTCTTTTACGGCATAATGAAAAATTTTCAAAAGTTTTCTCGCCCAGAAAAAAATATTCAAAATTTGGTCACAAATACTTGCACTTTACTCACAAAAACGCAAACTTTTTCTTCCTTTTCTCTGTTTCTGTGTATATTTTTTTTTGGGGGTCAAATTCTCTGTTTCTGTGTTTAATAGTTCATGTTCATGTGAATGAATTTTGTTCTTGTGGAAGAGCTCCTCTTTCCACAATTTTTTTTTAATTTTTTTTCCTTTTTAGGGTTGAGCTTCTTGAAGCGTTAAACAATCCCAGAAAAAACCGCTTTGATTTTGTGCTTTCTGGTTAGTGATCAGAGTTCTTCAAGACGATGAAGAGAGGGAAGTTAGAGCTGCCGGTGTTGCCCAATAGGTTCAGGCTGCTTCAAATTCTGATGGGCGTAATCTTGCTTTACTTTCTCTTCATGAGCTTCGAAATCCCTCTTGGTCTTCGAACAGGGTTTTCGTCACTTTCTTCTTCCGACGCTGCTTCTGGGTTTCTCAATGACGCATTGCCTAGGCCTTTGTTACTCGACACCGACGAGGAACAACAACTTACGAATAGTATCACAGAAATTCGACCCTCCGACGAAGCATTTCGGGTTTTTCGAGGATCAAGGCACCGAAAACCCGAGCGTCAAATGCACGAGTTGAAGAAAATTTCCGGTTTAGTCTTCAACGACACTTCATCCGACGCTAATGCCGCCGATAAAGATGGGTTTTCTGTACTTCAGAAGGAAGCGATCCATGCTTGGATAGTGGGAAAGAAGCTCTGGGAAGATGTAGAAAGTGGAAAAATAGAGAATGAGACGAAGTCGAGGCCTGAGAATCATTTGGACTCATGCCCACACTCGATTTCAATATCGGGGTCGGAATTTCGGGAGCAGAAAGGCGTCATGGTGCTGCCATGTGGCTTGACTCTGTGGTCGCACCTTACGGTGGTTGGGACACCGCTCTGGGCTCATGCAGAGCATGATCCCAAGATATCGATTGTGAAGGAAGGGGATGACTCAGTGATGGTGTCGCAGTTCATGATGGAATTGCAGGGTTTGAAGACTGTGGATAACGAGGAGCCACCTAGGATTCTGCATTTCAATCCGAGGTTGAAAGGTGATTGGAGTGGGAAACCAGTGATCGAGCAGAACACATGCTACAGGATGCAGTGGGGTACTGCCCTCAGGTGTGATGGTTGGAAATCTCGGGTCGACGAGGAAACTGGTGATTGACTCATGGCAATCAATGTCAAACTCAATTTCTGTTATTGCATTGCATGGCATGTTCTGTCACATTGAGTTCAATGTAGTTATAAGGGTTTGCCAAATACTTTAAAAAGATTCATTAGTGTGTCTGTTATATGGCTTTAGAATGATCATTGTGTATAGAGTTGGCTTACCTTTCTTTTGATGGACATCCATGTGAAGTTACTTTTAGTGTGTCAGTTCTTAAGGGACATTGCTCATTTACTTTTAGTGTGTCAGTTCTTAAGGGACATTGCTCATTTTTTGCTGATTTTTCTGGGTTTTATGAAGTTGATGGTCGAGTAAAGTGTGAGAAGTGGATTCGTGATGACGACAACCACTCTGAAGAGTCGAAGGTGACATGGTGGTTAAGTAGACTGATAGGGAGAAAGAAGAAGGTGGCTGTAGATTGGCCCTATCCTTTTGCTGAGGGAAAGTTGTTTGTTATCACCTTAAGTGCTGGCCTGGAAGGCTACCATGTCAATGTGGATGGGAGGCATGTGACATCTTTTCCTTATCGAACAGTGAGTACGCTAATCATATCTCTTTCAACTATGTGAATTTGATAAATTTTTTTAACTATTTTAACAATATTCACAGGGCTTTACACTTGAGGATGCTACTGGACTATCTATAAATGGGGATGTTGATGTGCATGCTGTTTATGCTGCTTCCTTACCAACATCACATCCAAGTTTTGCTCCTCAGATGCATCTTGAAATGCTTCCTCAATGGAAAGCTCCGCCTCTCCTTCATTTGAATGTGGAGGTTTTCATTGGAATCCTTTCTGCTGGCAACCATTTTGCAGAACGAATGGCAGTGAGGAAGTCTTGGATGCAACATAAGTTAATCAAGTCTTCACATGTTGTGGCTCGATTCTTTGTTGCCTTGGTAGGGATTGATCCACCTTCCCTTCCCCAAAGATAAGAAAACTCTATGAATACATTTCCTTTTAGTATGAAAATGGTTTAACATTTTCTTTTCTTTTCTTTTCTTTGTTTTTTTTTTGTTTTTTGCGTTTCTTGTATAATATAGCATGGAAGAAAGGATATAAATGTTGAGATAAAGAAAGAAGCAGAGTATTTTGGTGATATCATTATAGTCCCGTACATGGATCATTATGACCTTGTTGTGTTGAAGACTATAGCTATCTGTGAATATGGGGTGAGTGATGGGAGAGGCAAGAAATGTTGCTGATTTTTGTCTTTACTCCTCCTCCTTTGTGCTATTGGCATGTCGTTGATGATTATTATCCGTCATGCTTTGCAGACTCGTTCAATTGCTGCAGAGTATATTATGAAGTGTGATGATGATACATTTGTCAGGGTGGATTCAATCATTGGGGAAGCAAGAAAAGTTCCAAGAGATAGAAGTCTTTACATTGGAAATATGAATTATCACCATAGACCTCTTCGCCACGGTAAATGGGCAGTGACATATGAGGTATAAGATTTTATATTTATTCTTTATTCTCAAGCGTGCTCATGTGTTTTGTCTTCTCTATTTACACTGTTTCTTTTATATAGTTAGATTTTTATAACCTTTTGCATAATCTTCCTTAATTTGCTTCATGCTTGTACCATTTCTTATTGTAGTCTATAGCCGCTAATAATCTATGTCTCCTGTGATTGAAATTCCAATAATTTTAATTAAACCACTGCTGATTTGAGCTTGTGTAATTTTTCTGATTATTATAAATATTTGGTGTCATGATATCTTGTGCCTAAAATCAGTTGTCATGGGCCCTGCTTTTGTGTAACTGTTTGGGTGAAACCGTTTGACACTTATCTGCAATTCGCTGATTGGTTAAATATAATTTCTAGGTCAGTAGTTAAAGTTCTGCATGCTATTTTCCCCCCTTGCTGCATGATTTTGAGTGGAAAATTACAAAAGAAAGTATTGTGCTCCTAACTAGAAAACTGTACTATTTAATGTAACCTGGATGGCTACACCGATTTTGATTCCCTCGATTGCTCACATGATGAGAGAGATAGAGTGGGATATATGTAGGACCCACCTCTACTCTTTGTTCACTTGAACAATTGAGAGGACCTAAATCTGATTTTCACAAGATATATAAACATTTTTAATTTTTAATGAGCTGGTGTTTGAGAAGTTCATGCATCATATTTTCTTTTTGGTCAACATGCATTATATTCATTGCCCTGGTCTCTGACTTTAAAGTTACTTAATATGGTACACTGATAATGATGGGTGTTTTGACTGTTATATTTTTCATGAACTTCCAGGAATGGCTGGAAGAAGAGTATCCTCCCTATGCTAACGGCCCGGGTTACATAATGTCCTCTGACATTGCCGAGTTCATTGTATCTGAGTTCGAGAAGCACAGATTAAACGTATGTTTGACTTTTTCCAGATGATCTAATGCTTATCTGTCCTTTGTGTTAGCATGCAAGTCCATCGAACCCTATATTTGCGTATGCCCTTGCATGAATGTTCTTGATTACAAGCTTATTTCTTCACATAGTTTTAAAAAGTGGGGTGGAGCGGGAAAATCGCTTCTGTAGACCGGTCATGTGATAGGTTGACATTTTCAATTTTGAATAGACATTTCAACGCCTCAAGCATATTCCTTTGGCTAAATTATACCAAATTCGTTAGAAGCATGAACTTTGAAACATGCGTGAATAATGCTCCCTCCACCCCTAACTATAATACATAATTTTAAAGGGTCTAGTGTTCCCCCCTTTTTCGCCAGTGTCCCTTTATAGTAGACACTTTAGAAAGTTCTAGGAGTAATTATTTTTTTTCCTAAAATGCCCCAAGCAATAAATAAAAGCTGGCCCATCTGCTTGATAAAGGAAGCTGATGATAAATAGTTGACGGCAAAACTGGAAAGAAGGAATAAATTTTTAGACATCAACTATTTTTTTGGTATCTGTGAATTTGGTAATTGTATCTTACAATTAGGGACAAAGGGAGTGTGTTGTTGATTATTGTCCATATTCTGGCAAGATTTGACAAAGTTTTGCATTAGCTGTCAAGAGTTTAACATAATCTTATCTGAGTTTGGGAGCGGTTATAAATATAGGCAGAGTTATGTTATTGATTATATACTCTTTAAATTTTCAGACAACTGGAATCAAACTTCTTGCATATTATATTTTGTAGTGAAATAATGGACGAATTAATAGCAGAAGAATTATTTGCATAAATGTAGAACTTCAAGTGGTTTATAGTAAAATTGTAAATGTCAGAGATGTTGCTTGCAAATATCCTAAAGTTCAGGGGGTTTTATGTCTAATTTAACGCCCTTTTTTCCCAATCAAATTCACTTCTGAAATGTTCAATTATCTACGTACGATTGACCTGATATACCAGCTTTTCGTTGACCACGAAAGCATAGGCTTTCAAGTTTCAATATCATAACAGAAATGAATCACAATGTGGCGCAGTTGTTCAAGATGGAGGATGTGAGCATGGGAATGTGGGTAGAGCAGTTCAACGCCTCAAGACCTGTAGAATACGTGCACAGCTTCAAGTTCTGCCAGTTCGGTTGCATCGACGATTACTACACGGCGCATTACCAGTCTCCACGTCAGATGACGTGTATGTGGGCCAAGTTGCAGCTTCAAGGAAAACCCCTCTGCTGCAGCATGAGATGACATAACCAGAATAACACACAAACTAGGAGAGACACAAATGATGCTTACTTTAGGGGAAGGAGGCAAGTTTTGTGGTCATATTTTGTATCTCTGTAGATATAATGCTCTTTGGTGGGGGATTCTTTTTAACATATTCGTTCATTGTTTAGCCTCATTTTATAGCTCCATTTGAAATCCCCCAATATATATATATATATATATATATGAGGATATAGTTGGATATTGGAAAAACATAACTATTGGCTTATGCCAAAAGAGCAAAAAAAAAAAAAAAAAAAACCATAACTATTGGCCTATTAGTTTTAATATGTTTTGGTATAGGTCCTTGCAGTTTTTTTAAGTTACTTCAGGCCCGTCTAGTTTATTTCGTCGGTGACGTTAGTTCCTTTATTTTTGAATGTGCACAAAAGAACGATGGGTCAATGAGATGAGACTAACAATGTTACACATGGTGAGGTGGAATTACAATTCAACATATTGAAACATGAAACATATAATAGAATAGGGTAGACAATGCTGTTAATTTCCTGAATCATAGTTCTACTTCAATGCAAATTAATGATCTTAGTCACATCAACATATTTAATGTTGTCATCAGATCATCTTTATGAGCATCTTTAAAAATAGATGGACTAAAGTTACAGATACAACAAACTAGAGGAACTTGGAACAATGAAGAAATTAGAGACTTGTATTTTTTTTGATAATTAGAGACTTGTTAAAACTATAAGGGTTAATAATTATGTTTTTTTCTTGAATATCATATAGCAAGCGACTGAGAAAACAAACCTATGGCTTGTGAATCTGTCGTTGTGAACCCAAAGGTGTGTAGCAGAATAGAATGAAATTTCTGCTTTGACTTCATTTACTAGCGGGTGTCTTGTTCGTTTTTATTTTCGTTTGTGCGAAAATTTTTGGTTGGGTTATTGGTGAGTGGTTGGTTTGAAAAATTTGCCCAAATGAGCAAATGGGCCGTTTACAGGGACGTGCACAGTGTTTTTCCCCCCCTCTTGTAAGTAACTTGCATTTTTGAGTTGAAATCATTGTCAAAATATTCTGCTTTTGTGATGATTGGGCAAGTAATGAAGTCAACATATTCAAACACTTCAGGATATTGGATGCAAAAGCAAAAAAAGAAAAAAAAAATTCTATATTTATGATGATGGGTTTGCCATGAAGTATCGTGGAAATTTCCCAGTGTGGCTTTTGTCTGATGGGATTGCCATGAAGCATCCTGAAAAGTTACGACTGGTTTTTTTTGGATAAAAAGTTACAAAACAATACATTTGTTAAATAAAGTTAAAGTGTATTTTTAATCTTTTCACTTTATATATAATTTTATTTTAATTTTTTAATTTTATAAAAAGCTTTTCAATCATTTTTTAATACTGTTAGTTTCATCACAAAAAATTTATACATTAAATTTTTTAATATTGACAAAATATGTTCAAATGTAAACATGTTAAGTTTAATTTTTTTTAAAATAATAATGATTATTACAAAAAAGTAGTCATTTGAAATTAGCTACTGAAAATATATTTTTTTGAAATTAAGAAACCAAATTAAAATTTCATATAAAATTAAAGGATTAAAAATATATTTTAGTTTTTATAATAATAGTAATATGTTAAATTGCAATTTTATATGAAGTTACGTCATCTGCCCTTACTCTATTCTATTCAAATTGTCCATGGGTCATTGATTCTTGTTTCTCCTGTATTTTCTAATAAGAAAGGTGACTCATAAATTAACAAATAAGTTATACAGTTCCAGACTTACAAAAAATATAGTTTTTATTAACTATTTGGATTATTTAAATTTTATTTGGGCGGTTTAGAAGTTATATATATAACTTTATTTTAATAATGTTATAAAATAAAATAATTTTCAAACTAAAATTCATGATTAACTAATAATAATAAAAAGATAATAAATTCAAAACAAAATTTAAAGTGTTTAGAATGAAATGAGATTATTTAGAATTTAGATCAAATTGGCCCAAAATTGTGACGCAGCAGCAAATTAGATATTAAATTCATTATTCCTTAAAATCATGAGTTCCAATTCATCCAGATTTAGTTGGGTCATATCACTAGAGCACAAGGCTTTCCCAATGTTTTCTATACACAATATCCAAAATTTTTTCTTATATAATTTCTTTTTCTCATTTTCTTTGAACTCCGGCTTAAGAACACAATCAGGGAAGCACTTAAATTAATAATAAACCAATCAAATTGATTTCATGAGTACAAAAAAAAAAAGAAGAAGCAAAAAACAGTTATATACTTGCATAGTTTCAACCATAAATTATTTTTGAAAAAATAACTCAGATATGATGATGTCTTAATGGTGGAAGAATAACTCAGGAGCATAAAGGTCATTATGGCTTTTTAACTGCGTAGGTAGGCGCAAAGCAAAAGTAGTTCTATGCAAAGAAAGATTCTCTTTCAGTGGATAGAGACCACAGAGTAACAAACTGGAACGAACCTCATTCCATATTCTTTACTTTTAACATGACCATTCAATCTTCAATGATATTTTTCTGGTAAGGAAAAATTTAAATGAGTCAAGTCTCGATGGTTTATCAGGATCAATACATGTCTCTAGGTTCCAAAAATACTTATAAAGATACTTATAAGTCATCCATGAATAAAGTCCTTATATTTACAAATGCATTTGATTCTACAACTTTATAGATTATAAGTCAAGTTATAATTAATTAAACCAATTTTTATTGATAAAAGAGATGAATTTTCTTACAGCAATTAGGTATCTACTCGATATCTTTTAAGTACGCTCTAAAATAAGTATTGTGAACCAAATAAAACTACCTTTCATTTGGAACCGGTCAATAATTGATTAGATAGCAGTACTAGATATTCTCCCCCCCCCCCAAAAAAAAAAAAAAAAAACAGAATGGAGCTGGATGTCTGGATTTCATATTCAAATGAAGTCCACTTTTTTTTTTTTTTTTTTTTTGCATCTGGGTTTATTTTCTACAGAAACATTTATCAAGCCAAAGGAAATTACAATTTGCATCTTGCATACGCACTGATCTTTTGACTAGAAAAGTCACACATAATATTCTCTTTCTTTTTTCTTTCTTTCCAAAACTAGTGAAATTGATTGCAGAAATACCAGTAATTTCAACCTAGAAGAAGAACAACCAAACTGGAAACCAGACCATGAGATGGATCAACCAAGCAACTCCTGAAAAAAAAAAAAAGCAAAACAAAATACACAAAACGTCAAAACCAAATTTAACATTAAACATATAAAATGACATGAGCGTAGCTACTGACAAGACAAAATATATATAGTCCTTAGGAATCAACATTTACACACACACATATTATAATAAGCCATACTATTCACCAGTAACGAACAGTACAACTTAAAATCCATGCCACATGTAGAAAACAAAGTTCTGTATGAGCAAAGAAGAAAGAGCAAGTTTAATTGCTTACCGTTTCTGAGACCATTGTTATAAGAAGGGAAGTAACAATTATGTGTAGTGTTGATTCCATTAGGACAGTTACAGATAAAAGAATTGGAAGGTCCATCATAGCCACACACTCCATAGCTCCTCTCACAATCAGCACAAGGATCTGGAAAATCATTAGTGACACTGAACTTATACTTGATAGCTATCCCATAGCTCCATTTCTCAGGATCAGAGTTCTGATCGTTGTAGCCATAAAACCCAGAATACGAAGTACATTGAAGTTTCTGCAAATCCATCTCAAAAGAAGGACCAAGATTCACTGGTGTATAAACACAGCAAGATGAGATAGGCATGTTGATGGTACTGATAGGCCTGCAAGAGTAAAGAAGACTGCAAATTGGTGTCCCTAAGTCACACAAAAGCGGGGAACTTTTGTTACCACCACCATCATCAGAATCATCACTTCGTGTGCATATAGATGAAGAGTTATTAGAACAATCTAAGAGAGCAAAAATGGTGGAATCGTCGAAAGTGAAAGGGGCATCCCAGTTTAGGCCAAATCCTTTACTGGGGACAGTGAAGGAGCATGTGGACATGGTAGGGTCTGAGATGAACAAGACTTGTTTGGTGTAGTCAATTGAGTTGACATAGTAAGAACCAGTGTGAGTTGTGAATGTGAGCTTCTGTTGTGAGCAAGAAACATAAGGTTGGAAGCGAGGGTCGCCGCAACCAGGGCCACTTCCAAAAGGGTATTTCAGAAAGTTTTTCCCACAGGCTCTCTGGCAAATTTGAGCAGAGATCAGAGAAGGAAGAAGAAGAAGAAGAAGAAGGAAGATAGACACTTGAGGAAGTGATGAAGAAAGCTCCATTATAGAGTTGTCAAAGAAGTTAATGTGGAAGGAGGATGAAGCTAAGAGGTGATATATATTGTATTGTAGCAGATGAGATGAGCATTGCCTTTTCTGGTTTTGTGACATAAAGTTTGTGTACTGCTGCTTTTGGAGGTTCTGTTTTTTATTTTTTCCTTTGCCTTTTTTACTATTATAATAATAATAATAATAATTTGATGCCATTGTTCTCCATAGCTCTTCTCCAGTTCTTTATCATTATTGCTATTCTAGAATTCTGGTTTTTTCTTAATGCTGTAGGATAAGAATGATCTCTAAACTTCAATTTTGTTATGTTCTTAGACTGTTAGAGCAAAGTCACATGCAATTAATTGTTACTCGTTAGAGTCTACATTCTTTGATGTCCAACGTATCATGTGCGATGTGTATTTGAGTCTCAAACTTTCAAGTGCATATTTTTTTGAGCTTATTTTCTTATTCTTCTGTTTCTCAATTTTTGGTTCTTGGCAATTTAATAATGTATTAGTCCATTTGACAGTTCTATGATTGTGATCATGATATATAAAGTCCATTTGAGTCTTAATTAATGTATTATAGATTGACCATCGATATATTCTCGGAAAAAAGAAGATTTTTGTATGGAAAAAAGAGAGAGATGAGAATATATTCCATGATATTAATATCAATACAAAATAAAATTATAGCATATTGTTGACGAGTAAACAATGAGTTATTCCTCATGCCTCATGTTATTCATGGAAGGTTCATCAAGTTCTATATTTTTTCTTTTTTTATAAAATCCCTTCCATTGCAAAAGTATAAAAAAAAAAATACTCCATCTGCTTAAAAAATATAAAACTTTTTTAATTGAATTACATTCTCAATAAATTAGTTAATAGTCTTTAAACTTATATCATTTTTTAGCATTCGTCCTTATTAAAAAAGATGTTTTACTTCAAGGTAAATGGTTGATTAGTTTATTTATTAAGAGTATTTTTGAAAAAAAAAAGTTTTACAACTCATCCTATTCCAATGTTAATATAATATAAGATTATAATTCCTTTGTTAAAAAATATAAAGCATTTTTTATAATATTGAATATTAAAAAATATGAGGCATTATTAGTTTTTTAATACATAATTAATAAGTCTTTTTTTTTTCAAAATTATCGTTAACATGATCGACAGCAACTTTCTAAAGTTACAAAAAATTAAAAAGAAAAAAATTATTGATCTTAAGGAAAGAATTAAAATTTTTTATTTTCAATAAAAAGGAAAAAAATCCATTTCTACTTCTTCAACCCTCGAAACAAGGAGGACCAAACGTTGAAAGGCTTTGAAGAATGAATACTAATTTCATAATGCAGCTTTTGGGAGTGGCAACGCACTCGTCAAGTGACTGATAATAATAATATGCAAAGAGAATAAGAAATCCAAAAGATGTGAATTGAATACAAGAACGATGATTACCTCTAATCTTTTCTCCCACTTTTATTCTAATATTATTATACAATTATTGCTTCGAATGATTGCTCCGTGCATTTTACAAATTTAATAATACCAATAACTTTATCTACTGTAATAAATCAAAAAGAGAATAAAGCTTCATCCACATTCTATTAGTGTCGCTCCAAGCAAAAAAATTTAAAAAAGATTCTGAAAAATATAAAAATTAGATTTTTTTATATTTTGTTAATTTTTTCTACAAAACTAGGAAATAAAATATCATATTTTCATTAGTGAAAATTATATTAAAATATATAATATTATTTCATTATTTATTTCAAATATACTTTTCTCAAACATATCTTTTTTTTCAATTTTTGTTTCCAAAACTTGTTATAAAAAAGTACTCTACGTAATTATTCTAAGAACGTAAAATAGAATCAAACTAACCCTTAATTATTTAATTTCTATAATTTTGATTTGGTTGCTACTCTATTCCTAAATTTTAATTGGATATAATTCAATCTCTATAATTTTGACTCAATTGAATATTAGTCCCTATACTTTAACTTATAATAACTTAGTCCTTATAGTTTTAATAATTTAAAATCTTAGTTCATAAACTTTAAGAAATAACTTTAGTCCTTGTAATTTTATTTTTGAAATATAGGTATCAATATTTTAAATATTTAAAACTATAAAGGCTGAGTTGTATCAATTAAAATTTAAGAATTAAATTGTATGAAATAAAATTATAAGAATTAAGTTACGCTAAGTTAAAATTTAAGAATTCAGTGATGACCAAATCATAAATAAAAAGGTTAAATGATTAATTTTTCAAATTAAAATTGTTATGATGGCTAAGAAGGTTAACAGGAAAAATGATTAGTTACAAATCGATCGATGAACTAATTATATTGATGTTGTTCAAAAGAATGTATTTTTTTTAAATGTAAATGAGGCATATCTTATTTGTACAGTATCCACCATGTGAATTTTCTTGACTTCACATGTCTGTCTCTTCCCCTTTCTTCCCTAGCATTGCTGAATCATTTCAACGTACATGTTAATTTTAACAATTTGGATCCAATTTTACTACTTGATCAGATTTCAGATGTATATGATAAACATTGTTTAAATAATTAATTTGTGCCTACAAATGGAAGAGCAATTGAAAAAAATTGTATGTGCCAGAAATTATTTTGAGGCGTCTTGTGCTAAAAAATAAGTACAATTTGGTAACCAAAAAGACAGAGAAATTGAAGTGGTTGGCAAATAACAATGTAGTTACGAGGTGAACTTAAACCAATTATAATAAGAGAAAATCAATTTGACTTGGAACTATGCACTACAAGAAAAATTGTGAGAAAAATATTAATTTGGTTAATATAATTATGCTCTTTCGAAATAAGATTGTTTTTGTCAAATAAAGATCATTATAACTTTTTTAAAGGTAAATGTACCTAGGCACAAAGAAGTTCTTTCGATAATATTTACTTCTATATAATAACTGAACACCAAACACCATCTGCACCAGTGGTCTAGTGGTAGAATAGTACCCTGCCACGGTACAGACCCGGGTTCGATTCCCGGCTGGTGCAATTGATTTGTCTTTTTGAAATTTGGCTTTTTCTGTAATTACGCGAGTCGTACAATTGTTCGTAAGACTGACATATTTTTTAGCTATGATGACAAAAATATATAAAATCTATTATATATATATATATATATATAGATATATTGTCATTAGATACTGAAAAACATAATATTAATCGAGTCTTTTCCATCTTTTGTGTAAATTTTATGCAGGAGGGAGAATGCGGAACCATAGTTAAATATATATATATATATGGTGTAAGGTTCACGGTGAAAAGTTGGATAATGAATGTGAGACCTATAATCAAAAAAGATAAAATATAGAAGAGACAAATTTTAAAACAAAAAATATATTTTAAAATTTTAATTTGTATTTGTATGATAATTTGTAGATTAAAATAAATTATTATTTGTTCACCTTAGTATTATTTTCTTTGAGACATTTCTATTTAAGGTACAGTTGGGTATTAAATGTGGACAATTCTTTTGTTGGTGGTGTGAGGGTGTGCCAAAATTAAGAACATGTCCTCAAACAATACAAAATACTTGACTTTTAAATCAAACAATTAGTTTCCTTGATCATTTACTGCAATTTCCCCAAATGTAAATGCTTAAAAGTAAAGAGAACAAAGAAACAAAAATTGAGAAAAATGGAAGCATTGTATGGTGAGAGTTAGGGGTGTTCATGAAACAAAATGGGATCGAGACACTCGTGTCTTGTGTCCCATCTTAACAAATGATCAGGACTGAATTTTTGTCTTGTATCTTGTACCATCCTAAAAATCATCCCTCCCATTAGTAATTGAGATAGAACTAAACATCTCGATAAAGTAGACAACATGAGAGAGGTTTTGGATAATAACATTTACTAAAATATAAAATCACATATCTTATTAAGTTTAAAACAAAAATAACACAAATACATACATCACAATGACTTAAAGTCAATTATTAAGCTACATCAATTGTAATTACAATTCTACAACTTAAAATCAAGTATAGATAAGCATAGTATATTATGATAGCAATTACAAGTTACTTCCAAACTATAAGAGCAACAACAATTGATAAGCCAAGCACAACATTAAGTCATTTCTCTTATTTTTTAGTTAAGATGTTTGAAACTATTGACTTTTTCAAAAATAAAACAAGAAATATAATATAAAAATTAATAAATAGATAAATATAAAAATAAATTGTACTCCTCCGTCTCAAATTATAAGACACTTTTAGAGAAGATTTTAGCGTTTCAAAATATAAGACATTTTAATAAAAATAAGATTTCATTAATGATATTTTTTTAATATTATCCTTCTCATATATTCTCTCTCTTTAATATTCTTTTATCAATAGAGTATTAAATGAAGGGCATTTTTGAAAGTTTATATTTTTGTCTTGAAAAAGTAAGGTTGTAAAGTATATTTAATGAATTTTGTTGGTATGTGATATTTTGTCTAAAAGTATCTTATAATTTAGGATAGAGGGAGTATTAAAATAATTAATATATTGTAAAAAAAAGATAATACCTTATACTGTTTGCTTTATATCATTAAAATTATTAATATTAAGAACTTTTAACTTGGACTAGGGATTACAAATATTAAAATTATAAGTCATATAATTTATTCTCATATTAATTAATTAATATATGAATATAATTAATATATTTAATGCCTATTTTAAAAGAATATATATATATATATATATGATATTTAGGATAAGACAGGATCTTTCAAGGGCAATCCCTTGTCTTGTCCCTTCCTGAATCCTTTTTCGTCCGGTCTTGCAAAGTTTTGTCTTGCTTTTTAGGTCTGAGAAAGACACGCCCTAATTTGACTAGGATAGAACTAGATCAATTGGGACAGGAAAAATGTTGACTACCCCTAGTAAAAGCAAACATGATATTGATATGATATAAAAGAGAGTATGGAAAATATAAGTGAAAAAATTAAAAGAGAAGACTAGAGTGATGATGCTACTATTCTATTGGAAGTTGTGCACTGCTGAA